CCTTGGCCTCCCAAAGTGCTGGGATTACAGGCGTGAGCCACTGTTCTGGCCCATTTTATTTTTTATTTATTTATAATTTGAGACGGAGTCTTACTCTGGTGCCCAAGGCTGGAGTGCAATGGTGTGATCTTGGCTCACTGCAACCTCCACCTCCTGGGTTCACACCATCCTCCTGCCTCTGCCTCCCAAGTAGCTGGGATTACAGGTGCTCGCCACCATGCTCAGCTAATTTTTCTATTTTTAGTAGAGACAGGGTTTCACGATGTTAGCCAGGTTGGCCTCAAACTCCTGGGATCAAGTGATCCTCCTGCCTCGGCCTCCCAAAGTGCTGGGATGACAGGCGTGAGCTGCCACACGTGGCCAGTGTCCATTTTAGTTGTGGCAAAAGAGAGGGGAATCTGCTGGCCCAGGTTGGGGGTGACATCAGTTATTCTCAAACTGGGTTCCCCAGAACCCTCAGGACCACCCCACGGATGGGCAGGGTCCAGCCACCTGCTGGGTTGTGACGAGGAGCCTGGACACCTTCACCGGTGGCCAAACTTTCACTGAAGAAAGGGCTTGGGGGCCAAACATGAATATCAGGTACCCACAGCCCATGGATCTGCAGAGGAGGGGACAGACTTGCCTCGGCCTGAGCAAAAGATTCTTACAGTGCACAGAAGCCTAGGGCCACCTGGGAGGAGGTGCATGCAGCCCCTAAATATGTCCCAGTGCAACCCACTTCTTACCTCCCCCACAGCCTCCATCCTGGTCCCCTCGTCCTGTGGCACCATCCTCCATGCCCCCATCTATCCTTCCTGTAGCAGCCAGAGAGTGCCATGACCACCTGAGTCAGGTTTCATCCCTCCCCTGCCCACCACCCTCCATGGCTCCCACCTCCCTTGGGGTCAAAGCCAAGTGTTCCCGGCAGCCCACAAGACCCTACACACCTTGCCTGTTCCTTCCCTGCCCTCCCCTCCTCCCTCTCTCACCCTCCTCACTGCTCGAGCCCCACCAGCCTCCTTGCTGCTCCTCCAACACCCAGGCACGGTCCTGCCCCAGGGCCTTTGCACCACCTGTGCCCTCTGCCTGAGCTGCCCTTCCCCCAGGTCTCCACATGGCTGTTTCTTTCTTGTCATCCAGGCCTGGGCGGACATGCCGCCTCTTCAAGAGACCCTCCCAGATCCCCCATCTATTTTATTTATGTATATATTTAAAAAAATTTTTTTTTTGATACGGAATTTCACACTCTGTTACCCAGATTGGAGTGCAGTGGCATGATCTTGGCTCACTGCAACCTCTGCCTCCAGGGTTTAAGTGATCCTTCTGCCTCGGCCTTCCAAGTAGCTGGGATTACAGACACCCACCACCACACTCAGCTCATTTTTATATTTTTAGTAGAGATGGGGTTTTGCCACGTTGGCCAGGCTGGTCTTGAACTCCTGACCTCAGGTGAGCCACCCACCTACCTCCAAAGTTCTGGAATTGCGGGCGTGAGCCATGGCACCTGGCCAATTCTCTTCTTTTTCTTTGAGACAGGGTCTCACTCCCGTTGCCCAGGCTAGAATGCAGTGGCGTGATCTCGGCTCACTGCAGCCTCAACCTCCCTGGGCTCAGGTGATCCTCCCACCTCAGCCTCCCAAGTAGCTGTGACTACAGGTGCACGCCACCATGCCTGGCTTTTTTTTTTTTTTTTTTTTGTCTTTAAGTAGAGACAGGGTTTTGCCATGTTGCCCAGGCTGGGAAATTCTCTAGAAGGACCTGCAAATTTGTGGTTATGAGGAAACTGAGTCAGAGAGGGCCAGGAGCTTGCCTGTTTATAAAGCAGTAACGTGGCAGAATCGGAATTTGAACCCAGCCTTTAAACCAGCGCAATCCTTTCCTCGTCCCAGCCCACTGCATATTTGGGGTTCAAGTCTCCTCTCCTAGAGCCCACCCTAGAGGGGAAGTGTCGAAGCTTTAGGAAGCTTCTGGAAGCATTGTGTCCTGTTGTCCCCTCCTCGGGCCTTTGACAACGTCTTGCCACCCCTCAAAGCACCCTCCCTCCCCCTAGTTATCTCAGCCTCTTTCCACAAGAAAAAGGAGATGACCAGTCCTGTTGGACAGATGGGGAAACTGAGGCCTAGAAGCTGGGGATTTACAAGACGCCAAGAACTCTGCTAGAGGTACCTGGGTCAAAGCTTGGGCAGGTGTGATTTCAGGGAGGTCGTCTGCTGAGGTGTGTCGGGGTGCTGGGAAGGGGCGGGCACCCTGCGGAACTGGGCCTCGGTTCCTGCCCCTCTCTGCCTCCTCGAGCCCCTCCTGGTCTGTAATGCCTCAGGCTGTACCTGGGCAGGTGTGAGTCACTTTTTAGGGCTGACTTCTCTCTGAGCTGAGTGTTTCCCTGACAACGGCTGTTCTGTCCTCAAGGCACCCTCTCTTGGCCCCATTGGACAGACAGGGACACTGAGGCCTCCAGAACCCACCTTATTGAATTGTCAATCAAAAGACCCCTCACCCACCCGGGCTGACCCCTGGGGGAACGGGGATGAGGAGAAACTGAGGCTCTGGGAAAACCTGACCAGTGGTCCCAGGCCACACAGCGGGAGGGGCCACACCGTGGGGCCTCAGACCTGTACCCATCTGCAGAGTCTCTTCCTTAGGGACCCCCTGGCACCCCACCATCAGATTAGGGTTCAAGTCCCCCCCCCAGGCCCGTATTTCTCCCAGGGGTCCAGGCACTCACCCAGCACCTACACCCCAGGCTGCTCCAGCCTCTGTTCAGTGCTCTGTTCACCCAGGTGTTTGTGTGGCTGGAGGCAGCCCTTTGTTCACGGTTTCCATAGGTACAGCCCTGGGTGGGCCCCTCCTCCGCCCCTCCCACCCCCTGCCTGTGCAGGTCCTGGCCCGGCCTGTCCTGGGAGCTTGTTAGGTTTCAAAATTGGCGCCCTCAGAACTGCGGTGGTGGCGGAGGGCACAGCCCGTGCAAAGACCCTGAGGCGGGACCTCACCTGGGGTGAGGAACAGGAGGAGGCCCGCGTGGCTGGGGGTTATGAGCAGGGCCTGTATCTGGTGGGATCCCCCAGCAGCCCTCAGCTGGGGAGTTGTGACCCGCTCCTATTTTACAGACAAGGAAACAGGCTCAGAAGAATTGAAAAATTGGTTCAAGGTGCCATGCGGGTCCAGAGCTCAAACCTCGATTTGTCCAAGCTCTGTCACCACCAGGCTGACCCCAGGGGGCCTCCCGGGGCGTTCACCGTCCCCAGCTGAGCTGGGACGGGCTCAGGAAAAAACCTCTGGTGGCCTGTTTACACCTGGGGCTGCTCCTCCCCCAGCCCTTCCCCCCACCATAGAGAAGGATGCAGAGAAAATAGATTCCGTGTGCCTCTGTCCCCACCGCCCTGGCCCAACAACGGAAGCATTGGCCTCTTTCTAGCCCTTAGTTTACCCTCAGGAAATGAGCCCAGTTCCACTTCACAGAAAAGGCCAGGAGGCGACAGATGTGCATCGGATCACCTGCCAATTACCTTGGCAGCGACGGTCCCAGTTCACAGCTGGCAAAACTGAGGCCGAGGCCCCACAGGCCACTTGGGAGCTCGCTAGGGGCTGGTCTGGGTGGGCCTGGGCGGGCAGGCCTGGGCCTGGCTCCCCGTCACCGATGCCTGGTTTGGCCAGAAGCTACAGTCATGCCCACCTCCGCACGGCTGGCCCGGCTGCCCACCCCTGGAATGCCCTCGGGGCTCTGGAAGCTGGCCTGAGCACCTGCAGCCCTGTAGTTAAAGGGGCAAAGTCCAGCAGAGTCGAGGTGGGGGGGTGGGGATGCTGGTCCCAGAGCAGAGCCCAACGCCAAGGGGGGTCAATTGAGACTCAACCTGCCTCCCCCTAACCTATACAGCGACAGTGACAGAGAGTCAGAGGGAAACTGAGGCAGGAATACCGACAGACAGACGATGGGGTGCAGAGGCATTATCGGGCGAGAGAGACAGAGGGCGGCCAGGTGGCCCCCGGGATGCGCTGAAACGGGGGGCGCCCCGGCCCTGCTCGCTCACCTGCTCTTGGAGCAGAGTCCGTGCGTCCGACCGTCCGGGGTCCGTCCAGCCGCCTCCGTGGGCCGGGGCAGTTGCCGGGGCGGTGGGAGCAGCGCCGGAGCCGTGGCCGGGGCCGGGGCGGGACGGGCAGTTCGGCCCCGCCCTCCACTGGCCTCGCCCCTCAACAGGCCCCGCCCCTCCCCGCCCCGCCCGCGCGAAAGGGACCGGAGGGTTGCCAGGCGTGGGGGGCGGGCCGAGCGCGCCGGATTAGCCAATGGCAGCGCGGGCGCTGTACAAAGAGGCCAATGGGAGCAGGGCATTGCGACGGAGAGGGGGAGGACGGGGAAGGGGCGGAGCCTGGGGCGGGGTCAGGCGGCTCTGGGGGATTCCTCCGGAATCGCGAAGGGGCCCGGATGCGGGGGCGAGGCTGTCGTGGAGGCGCTGGTCACAGAAAGGGGAAGAGATAAGACTATGAGGCAGAAAGAGAACCTGGGGAGGGAGGCACAGAGACCCCACAGGGAGAGAGCAGGGAGCCAAAAGCCAAAACAGACCGACCACGTGTTTCTGCACGGGCCCCTTCCTCCTCCTGGGGCTCAGTTTACCCACCTGGGTCATAGAAATTTAGGCAGAAGGATGTTTCTCAAAGTACGGCCTCGGGGAACCGTTCGCATCAGAAAGATCTGGGAGCCCCTTTAAAAATGCAGATTCCAGCAAGGTGTGGTGGCTCAGGCCTGGAATCCCAGCACTGAGAGACCAAGGCAGAAGAATCCCTTGAATCCAGCAGTTTGCAACCAGCCTGGGCAGCATAGGGAGACCCTGTCTCTACAGAAAAATAAAAATAAAAATAAAAAAATAAAAAGTTATAGCTGGGCATGGTGGTGCGTGCGCCTGTAATCCCAGCTACTCAGGAGGCTGAAGCAGGAGAATTGCTTGAACCCAGGAGGCGCAGGTTGCGGTGAGCCGAGATCGCGCCGTTGCACTCCAGCCTGGGTAACAAGAGCGAAACTCCGTCTCAATAAAATAAAATAAAAAGTTAAAAATACAGATTCCTGTGCCACCAGAAGGGATGAATCTGACCCAGGTTTGTGGGGCTATAGATAGGTCTTTGGGGTGAGGTGGACGGCACCTGGAGACCCCACCAGAGGATCCCGAAGGTCCAGCCTCGATTTCCGTAGGAATGAGCTTGAAGGACACACGGGAACCTCCCAGCTGCGCAGCTCCAGCTGGGCTCCCCCAGGGAGGATGCAGCTGTTGCGTCCTGGGAACCAGGCCCTGGAGCGGCTCCCAGCTCCCCTGCAGCTCTGTTTCCGCCCTGCAGCCCCAACGCTGGATCCGCATTACGGCTAGGGCCAGGGAGCCCATAGCAACGCCGCTGCTTTTTCCTCCAGGAAACCAGACGACACATTGTTGAGGGCCTGTGGTATGTCCTCAGCTGCACACCGGATTCAGGAAGACTGGGGCGCAGGCCTCAGGAGGCAAAAGTAAGTTCAATATCTCATTGGCCAGTCGCAGTGGCTCACGCCTGTAATCCCTGCACTTTGGGAGGCCTAAGTGGGCGGATCACCTGAGGTCAGAAGTTGGAGACCAGCCCGGCCAACATGGTGAAACCCCGTCTTTACTAAAAATACGAAAATGGGCCGGGTGTGGTGGCACATGCCTGTAATTCCAACTACTAGGGAGGCTGAGGCAGGGGAATCGCTTGAACCCTGGAGAGGAGGTTGCAATGAGCCGAGATCAGGCCATTGCACTCCAGCCTGGGCAACAGAGCAAAATTCCATCTCAAAAAATTAAAAATAATAAAAAAATCAGCTGGGTGTGGTGGTGCACACCTGCAGTCCTAGCTACTCTGGAGGCTGAGGCAGAGAATCACTTTGTTGGAAATAGATGCTGGGTGCCGCAAAGAAAAATTAGCACCAAGACAAAGGATCTTTCAGCAACACAATTTCTACTTCCTGGGCTGCAGGGAGGGTACTCCCGATAGCCATCGTGCCAGAAGAGTACAAAGAACAAAGGGAATACACAGACATTTCTTCCTTATGCATTTGGGGTTGTCCTTACTGCTGTGCCTGATCTCCGTTGGCTGGAGCCAGACCTCACAATCTAAACTAAAACGTGATTGGCTAACAACTTAAAACTTTTTTAGGGCCGGGCGCGGTGGCTCAGGCCTATAATCCCAGCACTTTGGGAGGCAGAGATGGGTGGATCATGAGGTCAAGAGATCGAGACCATCCTGGTCAACATGGTGAAACCCCATCTCTACTAAAAATACAAAAATTAGCTGGGCATGGTGGCGCGTGCCTGTAATCCCAGCTACTCGGGAGGCTGAGGCAGGAGAATTGCTTGAACCCAGGAGACGGAGGTTGCGGTGAGCCGAGATCGTATCACTGCACTCCAGCCTGGGTAACAAGAGCGGAACTCCGTCTAAAAATAAACAGGTAAAAGCAATGGAGAGACGTGACATGCCTGTGAGCACGTCCAGCACAGATATCTTGATTAAAGTACAAGGACATAGAATGTACTACGTGCCTGTAAGCATGGCATGTCCAACAGCTACATAGGACAGGGCATCACAAAGTTATTAGCACACTTGCTCTTTAACAAGAAAACTTTAAAAAGGAACCATTCTTCTTCCCGCAACTTGAACTTTGGTGGAGGCAGAGATTGCAGTGGACCAAGATCATGGCACTGCACTGTCGCCCAGCCTGGGCCACAGAGCAAGATTCCATCTCAAAAAATGAAAAATACAAAAATGCAAAAAAATCAGGCAGGCGTGGTGGTTCACGCCTGTAGTCCCAGCTACCTGGGAGACTGAGGCATGTGAATCACTGGAACCCAGGAGGCAGAGGTTGCATGGAGTTGATATCACGGCACTGGGCGACTCCATCTCAAAAAACAAAACAAAACAAAAACCTCCTGATTTCATTTTGGAGGAGGAGACTGAGGCCAGGAGAGAGGAAGTCACTTCCCTGAGGTCACATAGGCACAAGTTGGTGGTCAGGAGTGACTGTCCCATTTCACAGATGATGAAATGGAGCCCCAGAGGGAGGACGTGATCGGTCCCAGGCCACACAGCCAGGATGGGGGAGGGGTGAGATTAGGACCTGATTGGATCTGACTGTGGTGTTGTGTCTACAGCTCCTCTCGGCAGCCCCAGCTTGATCAAGGGGGTTTCCCCATCAGGGCAGGGGGACTGTGGGCATCTGAGCCTAGCATGATAGTGTGATTTGGCCTTTTTCACATCTCTCCATTGCTTTTACCTGTTTATTTTTAGACGGAGTTCCGCTCTTGTTACCCAGGCTGGAGTGCAGTGATACGATCTCGGCTCACCGCAACCTCCGTCTCCTGGGTTCAAGCAATTCTCCTGCCTCAGCCTCCCGAGTAGCTGGGATTACAGGCACGCGCCACCATGCCCAGCTAATTTTTGTATTTTTAGTAGAGACGAGGTTTCACCATGTTGACAGACAAAAAGTGTCTGTCTTTTTTTTCAGACACAAAGTCTCATTTTGTCATCCAGGCTGGAGTGCAGTGGTGCAATCACAGCTCACTTCGACCTCAACTTCCTGGGCTGGAGCAATCCTGTCACCTCGTAGCTGGGATCACAGGTGTGCACCACCATGCTCCGCTAATTAAAAAAAATTTTTTTTGACACATAGTTTCGCTCTTGTCTCCCAGGTTGGATTGCAGTGGTGCAATCTCGGCTCACCGTAGCCTCCGCCTCCTGGGTTCAAGCGATTCTCCTGCCTCAGCCTCCCGGGCAGCTGGGATTACAAACGTGTGCCACCAAACCCGGCTAATTTTGTATTTTTAGTAGAGATGGGGTTTCTCCATGTTGGTCAGGCTGGTCTTGAACTCTCAACCTCAGGTGATCCATTTGCCTTGGCCTCCCAAAGTACTGGGATTACAGGGGTGAGCCACCTGGCCAGGCCAATTTTTAATTTTTTTATAGAGATAAGGGAGGTCTCACTATGTTGGCCAGGCTGGTCTCAAACTCCTGGCCTCACGTGATCCTCCTGCCTCTGCCTCCCAAAGTGCTGGGGTTACAGGTGAGAGCCACCACACCTGGTCTCTTTTCTAGATCAGATGAGAAAGTTGGGGCTCTGGAGGGCTGGGGTTCAGCTGGGTGTGTGAGGGAGGGGTGATCTTGGCCAGGAGTGCAGGCTCACCGGGAGATGGGACTCAGCAAGAACAGGGGCTCTGCTGGGATTGGGCTCTGTCCACGGTAAGGGTGCAGCCCGGGGTCAAGGTTCAGCCCAGAGCTGAAGGCTGTAGTGAGGGTCCAGGCTCAGCCCAGGGTCGGGATTTAGGCGGGCTCACCGGCTCTATCCCAGGTCAGACCCAGCCTAGAGAGGGGCTCAGCGCTGAAATGGGGGCTCAGGCGGATGGAGACTCATACGGAGGCTCAGCTCAGGACCAGGGCTCAAAGAGGCATCAGAGGCTCGATCCAAATTTGGGGTCTCAGCCAGGGTCCCAGCTCTACTGGGATTGAGGTTTAGCCCAAGGCGGGAGCTCAGCTCAGTGTCTCGGTTCTGTAGGAGGTCGGGGGCTCCATCCAGAGATGGGGGCCCTATAACCCGGTAAAGGTCAGCCAGGTGGGAGTCCCCGGGCCCCGGGGGTCGCCGCTGCGCCACTTCCGATCGTGCCCGGCAGAGGGCGCGCTCTGCCCACAGCCCGGGCTGGCGGCGCCTTCGCTTCCCGGGAACCCGCGGCCGGGGCGGGGTCCCCGGGCCCGAGTCTCCCCGGAGCCTAGACCCGTCAGCGTCACCCGTACCCCCAGAACAGGCCTCGCACCCCTCCGGGCTGTGCCACCCGCAGCGAGCGACCCCCCCTTCTCTGGGCCTCTGTCCCAGGTCGGAGAGACGGGACCCCGGTTGGAAGAGCTATGGGACCTTGAATGGGGGGCGATGGTACTCCGTCTGGGGGGATGGTGGGACCCTGGTTGCAGGGGGATGGGACTCTGTTTGTGGGGTGACGGGACCCCCATGAGCCAAGATCGCGCCACTGTACTCCAGTCTGGGCAAGACCCTGCCTCAAAAAAAAAAAAAAAAAAAAAGAGAAAGAAGAAAACCCAGAGAACTGCCCCACCCAGAGAGCGGGAAAGCTGGGGTATTTATCTCCCCTGCACGTCCAGCCAGCATTGGCCAAGGACTGCTCCCAGGAACCGTAGATCCGGGCAGAGAGAACGCCCCGAAAGAGAGATGCGGGGCGGGGTGGAGGGGGAGGTTGCGGGGATGAGATCCCAGCTGGGGGGCTTGGAGGAGGCAGCTTGTTCTGTTCTGCAGGCGCCTGGGGGACTCCTCCTCGGGGCCAGAACGCACCCCCCTCCCCCAGGGGTAACTCCCACACGTCCGCCGTCCATCTGTCCCGAGCCCATCTGTCTGTCTCTGCAAGACCCTTTCCAAGGCCACTTGAGAAAGGGAGTGGGTGGGCGGGCCCCGAGCCGGACGGAGGAGGGAGCGAACCCCCCACCTCTCAATGTCCAGCCCCGGGGGTCTCCTGGAACTTTCCCAAGGTCACTGGAAGAGAGGGAGGTGATGTCACCCTCCCTGGGGTCAGCGGCTGGGCTTGGGGTCAAGGGCCCCCCCCCCCCCCCCGCCCCACTCAACCAACTCCCTGCATCTTCCTCCCTGCTGGCAGAGAAGGAGCCAGCCTGCCCCTGAGGGAGGGTGGATTTACAATGTCAGCCGTGCAGACGCCAGCGAGTATCAGGCGGGTGTCTGGGAGGCAGAAGGCACGTGTGTGCCCGTGTGCCCCTCCGTGTGGCTGTGTGTGTTTGGAGGGAGGGCAGCCCAATCTGCTGCTGCCCCTAGGCATAGAGAGTCCTTAGTCATTCCGGGCAGGAAAAGAAACTTCACTTTTTGGAACGTCAGTGACTGCATCTGGAAGATGGGTACAGTGGTCGTAGCCGAGTCAGAGATTTGTAAAACTGCAAGGACACGGTGCTAGGACTCAGCACTCTTGCGTTGGCTGACGGCCTCAATAAGAGACCAGCGCGGGGGCTCATGCCTGTAATCCCAGCACTTTGGGAGGCTGAGGCAGGCATATTGCCTGAGGTCACGAGTTCAAGACCAGCCTGGCCAACATGGTGAAACCCCGATTCTACTAAAAATACAAAAATTAGCCGGGTGTGGTGGCAGGCACCTGTAATTCCAGCTACTCGGAAGGCTGAGGCAGGAGAATCGCTTGAACCAGGAGGCAGAAGTTGCAGTGAGCCAAGATTGCGCCATTGTACTCTAGCCTGGACACGGAGCCAAACACCGTCTCAAAAAAAATAAATAAATAAAGAGCCCAAGTAAGGACGTGGGGCTGAGACTGGGACACAGAAGCAGCTGTGGGAGCCCGGGCTGTGAACCAGACCCCATGGAGAGGACAGCTATGACCAAGGAGGACCAGGCTTCGGTCTGGCTGAGGATCTCTAGGGGACACTGCAGAAAACACATGGCCGGCGCAGTGGCTCACGCGTGTAATCCCAGCACTGTGGGAGGCCGAGGTGGGCAGATCATCTGAGGTCAGTTCAAGACCAGCCTGGCCAACCTGGTGAAATCCCATCTCTACTAAAAATGCCAAAATTAGCCGGGCGTGGTGGTGCGTGCCTGTGGTTTCAGCTACTCAGGAGGCTGAGGCAGTAGAATCATTTGAACCCAGGAGGCCGAGGTTCTAGGGAGCCGAGATTGTGCCACTGTACTGCAACCTGGGTGACAAAGTAAGACTCTGTCTCAAAACAAACAAACAAACAAAACAAACAAAAAAACAAGAAAAGAAAAAGAAAGAACACCAGATAATTACCCCACCCAGAGATTGGGAAAGCTTCGGTATTTCTCCCCACCATGTTCAACAAGCATTGGCCAAGGACTGCTCCCACGAACCTTAGCTCTGGGCAGAGAGAACGCCCTGAATCAGGGAGATATGTCTGTGGTTCGGAGCAGCTGCTACAGAGCATGACTCAGTGAGGGCTGATGAGAGCCAGCCCTGGGGCTTAGTCCAGAACTGCAGAGGAGGCAGCAGCAGGCTGGGGAAATACCAGCTGGGATCAGCTGAGGACCAATATGAGATCTGCCTTCTGGCAGAAGCCAGGGGAGGAAAACAGAGCTAAGTTCAGGACGGAGACTCAATGATGGGGCACCTTGATCAAGCTGTGCCTGAAGCCCCTCTAGATTAGGCAAGGACATTCGTCTCTCTCTCTCTTTCTCTCTCTCTCTCTCTCTCTCTCTCTGTGTGTGTGTGTGTGTGTGTGTGTGTGTGTGTGTGTACCCCTGGCCTCAAGAAATCCTCCTGCCTCAGTCTCCCAAAGCACTGGGATTACAGGCATGAGCCTCTGCGCCCAGCCCTAACACCTTGTTTTTATTTTTAAATTTTTAGTTTTTATTTATTTGAGACAGAGTCTTGCTCTATCGCCCAGGCTGGAGTGCAGTGGCGCGATCTCGGCTCACTGCAAACTCTGCTTCCCAGGTTTAAGCAATTCTCCTGCCTCAGCCTCTCTAGTGGCTGGGACTACAGGCATGTGCCGTGACACTTGGCTAATTTTTTGTATTTTTAGTAGAGACGGAGTTTCACTGTGTTAGCCAGGATGGTCTCAATCTCCTGACCTTGTGATCCATCCACCTTGGCCTCCCAAAGTGCTGGGATTACAGGCGTGAGCCACCTCGCCTGGCCCGTTTTTATTTTTATTTTTACTTTTTTGAGACGGAGTTTCGCTCTTGTTACCCAGGCTGGAGTGCAATGGCGCGATCTCGGCTCACCGCAACCTCCGCCTCCTGGGTTCAGGCAATTCTCCTGCCTCAGCCTCCTGAGTAGCTGGGATTACAGGCACGTGCCACCATGCCCAGCTAATGTTTTGTATTTTTAGTAGAGACGGGGTTTCACCATGTTGACCAGGATGGTCTCGATTTCTTGACCTCATGATCCACCCGCCTCGGCCTCCCAGAGTGCTGGGATTACAGGCGTGAGCCACCGCGCCAGGCTTATTTTTATTTTTGAGACAGAGTCTTGCTCTGTTGCCCAGGCTAGAGTACAGTAGTGTGATCTTGGCTCACTGCAACCTCCACTTCCCGGGGTTCAAGCGATTCTTCTGCCTCAGCCTCCCGAGTAGCTGGGATTACAGGTGTGAGCCACTGCACCCAGCTAATTTTTGTATATTTGGTATGGATGGGATTTCACCATCTTGGCCAGGCTGGTCTCGAACTCCTGACCTCATGATCCACCCACCTCAGCCTCCCAAAGTGCTGGGATTACAGGCATGAGCCACCGCGCCCAGCCAACACCTTGTATTTTAACAGCTCGGTGACATTTTCAGGTCCCCTACTGGACCGAGAACCCTGGGAGGGCAAACCTGGGCTCATCTTTCTACTACCATGTCCCTGGTGCCCAGAACAGGGCCTGGCACACAGTAGATGCTCACTTAAATGAGCGTTAAGCAATCAAATGCAACTTCTTCTCAATCTGTGGTTGAGAAAGCAAAGCTGAGGAAGAGTAGTGGGCTTGTCCACAAAACAAGTGGGAATCAGGGTCAGGATTCAAATCAA